GGGAAAGCCTCACTCTCAAACACAGGGGAAAATAAATAAACAAAAGAACACACACCAACCCTCACTCACAAACACAAGCTCAGCACACAGCAAGAAAGCCCCAATAACAAAACACACTTCCCTCAAGAGTCCTGTATCTGCTTCTTCTCTACCTGGAGAACTCCCTCTCAAAACTCTGTTAGCACTCACCTGTTAGCAAGCTCCTTGGTTGCTTGCCCACTGCCTTATAAAGCCCCTCCCCCTACCAAGGCTCAGCCAATCAGCAGTCTCTTCTGGCCTTGGTATCCTTGAATCTTTAATAATCTTCTTGTAGCTCTTCACTGCAGACTATAAGGAGGTATGTCCCTAGCTTTGCCCCTTCTGGCTGCTTTTTTTCTTATGCCCATCATTCACAGATCAATAGTTCAAGAGCAAACACTGCAGTAAATAAGTTCAAAGAATGCTTTCACAGTGCACAACTGATTTGCCTTCCTCTGAGAACTCTACATCTGCACTCAGAGCTCTGTTTTCATTTGGAGCACCCCATTCAGATTGCCACACTACATAGAGGCGCAATCTCTTGACTGGTGGAGAAGAGGTTAAAATGCACTCCGTTATATAATTGAATTGGCCCTTCCTGAAACGACTCTAAAAGATTATCACATGTGTATAGGGAGATTTCTGAACACAATCCCTCTATCTAACATGTCTCCTTAACAATTTTTGAAACATACCCCAAATAGGCCAAATCTGACTTTCAACCCATACTGCAAGCCCCATTTATTTATCCAGGCATTTAAAGAGGAAGAAGCATATTAAGGGCAGGCATTTGTGGGGGGACCTGAGATATTAGATACTTTTGACTTTATTTCTAGTTGGTTATGGGGTAATTTTGAGGTGAAAAGAAGCAGCTGTTTTAACTTTTTATGTAAGCATATTTTTAACTTTTGGAAATGTTCCCAGAGCCTAAGGACTGGGTACTTCATTTTTATATGTAAATTAAAAGAACTAAACGATGTCTCCACGTTGATGATTAATCTGCTGTGACCAGGATAGAGAACTGCACTTGTAGTATCTATTTCCTTTGGGCTATTTATTTTGGCAGCCCCATTAGTCGCTCTTGCTCCAGGATTCTGAAGCCTAGTATCTATCTCATTTTTTTCCATAATGTTTGGGGTTAGTTAAATGGGTGGCACTCAGTTAAGGCTGGGATTTTTGAAGCAGCCTAGGGGATTTGTGCCTCTCGTTCCCTTCAAAAATTCCTACCTAAAACTTTCACATTTCAGGTGATAGTTTTACAGTCAGATACATAGTTCAGTCTTTGGTTATCAATTTAAAATACAACAGCTGTGCCTTTAGGTGTACAACAGTTTTGAATGAAGTCTTGACTCTAGCCAGATATACACAAGTAGATTATGAATACCTAGGGTTGCCAGATGATTTCAACAAAAATACCAGACACACTTGACATTACACCACAATCTACATTACATCTTATTTAGAAAATACCGGATATTTATATTTTCTCAATTTGTTTCCAGAACAGAGAGCTCAAATACTGGACTGTCCAGTTCAAAACCGGACACCTGGCAACCCTATGAATACCATGGATCTCTCAAATTAATACAGGACACCAATAAGCAGACAGTCAGTCTTAAATGTAGTTGCACTACCAGGAATGAAAGATGGACCTGAGTCTTTAAACCAAGATATGAATCTAGGGATAGCTAGATCTGAGATTTTGATTTGACCATTATAAAGACAGCAGCAAACTGAAAATGTAGATCCCCAAAATTCTGGGGTGTTTGGATCTGGAGTTATGATTTGGTCCTGGTTTTATCAGGCTTTGTTTCATACCATAGGACAATTCCAATTGTCAGATGCTCTGAGAACTTTTACTCTTCAGGACAAGGATGGTCTGACCCAGTGTTTATTCAACTAACACGATGGGATCTCAATCTTCATGGGGGGCTTTAGGTGCTACAGTTGTGCAAAGTAGTAAACTTTGTACCAGGGACTATACTTTCCATAAGCTGCTCCATTTCATTTGCTGTGTTTTTGCCCTTCCTAAGCGAAGTACTGGCTAACTAGTGAGGATAACTGATGTATTGTAACTGACCTCTCGAGGGAAAAAAAATGAAACTGATATACATGTACCCTGGAAGATTATAGGCCCGAGATAATCTTTGTCAAATTGCTGTGTTCAAAGGCTTAGTAACAGTCTTTCTTTGGTAAACTGAAGGAATTTTCTGTTAATTGGTCTCCAGTTGGAGACAAGGTCTTGTGTGATAGTGGTCCTGTCCTAAGGAGGCATGCTTTTAAAAATGTCTAAGCCAAATGAAGTCCAACGTTCAGTGCCCAGGAGAACTTGCCGATGGGGGGAGGTCTCTAAAGGTATCTCTACATTTTGAGCTAGAGCATAGTTCCCATCTTAACGAAACATACCTGTGTTAGCTCTGATAAGACTAGCACCAGGCATCCCTCTAAGCTGCATGGCCACACAGCTGTCTAAGAACCCCACTTAACTCAACACTGCCACGCACAGAGCTGCCACTGCTGGAGTAGAGCCCAGCTGAGGCCGGTGGAATGCATCTCTCCCCCCAGCCACAGCAGCAACTTGGGAATCATGGCCAGTGGGACCTGCGGGGAGGGATGCCTCCAGGTGAGCATGGGGCGGGGCAAAGTCATCTGTTCTCGCCACCAAATAGGAACTCTCCCAGGTAAGCGCCCTACACCCCAATCCAGAGCCCCAGCCCTGAGCCACCTCCTGCACTCACTTCCAGACCTTGCACCCCAGCCCACAGCAACAGCCCTGAGCCTGCTCCACCATCCTAGGTTCCTCCTAGACCCCACACTTCTGAGCCCCTCACCTGCACCCTAACTCCTGCTCAGACCCTGCACCCCTACCCAACCTCCTGCCCTGCACTCCAAACCCCTTCATCCCAGCCCCATTCCAGAGCCTGCACCCTTAACCAGAGCCCTCATCCCCCCCAACCCTGGGTATCCTCCCACACTCTGAACCCCTCAGCCACAATGAATTTTGTTATGTTTACCTATGATGTAGTGGGGGTAACAGTTAATTCGAACTAAAAACTTAGTTCGAATTAACATTTCACTTCCGCGTGTAGCCTCGCGGCAGTGAGTTTGGGCTAGTGAAATTTCAAAATGGCGACCGGACAGGAACATGCAAATAAAGCCCGGGATATTTAAATTCCGGACTTCATTTGCAACTCCGGTCGCCTCATTTGCCTACCTAGCTCAAATTAACGAGCTAGTGTAGACGTACCCATAGTATGTGTGGCATGGTATGCTATGGTACTTCTGGCAGGGTCCTGCCTTCAGAGCTGGGTGCCCAGCCAACAGCTGCTGCTCTCTGGTCTCCCCCATGAAATCACTATAGTACAGAAAAAAGTACATGAAAGGCCAGATTTCATGGTGGGGAGGCCAAATTTCACAGTCCATGGTATGTTTTTCATGGTCGTGAATTTGGTAGAACCCTAATTATGATCAATTGGCTGAACATTTATTGATCTTTCTTGCCGATATAAACCACTGTGGCGCAAACAACCACTTTTCTGCTTATTGTAGTGCAATGAGACTATACTCATGCTATACTCCAGTGAGTTATAATTGTTTCATTAAAAAATTAATCCATTTATCAGTGCCAGAAATATGTGTTCCTGTATGTTAAAGGCAATGCCTTAGATTAGAAAGGCAAGGCTCCAGTTCCAGTGTCCTCAGCAGTTCTATATTAAATTACATGTGCACTAGAATCCGATTAGAAACTTGTTTGCTTCCTCTGTCTACAGAATCCTGTATATTTTAAATAATCGTGTGATAAGACAAGCTACTTTTTTTTTATCTACATTGTCCCCAAGAAACCTTTGTCTTTGTCATTGGCCTATCTAATTTAGCTAAGATGACTCACAGGAACCTTTTTATTCTTTTCAAGCTGCAGCTCATTTGGTTGCAAATTAAACATGTTCAATTAGCACTAAATGAAATCTCCAAAGCTTCAGTCATGTCTGACACAAGCCAAAGTAGAAAGCAATACCTTGTGAATGCAGTTTTGATCATCTGAAAGATTTGCTGTTCAAATAAGTCCATTTATATAAACATGTGAAAATAATGTATCAGCTTCATTCAACAATAATGCTTCTAGTTAACAAATTTTCTTCATTTGAAAATGATCCTGTAATTTCTTTTTTCTATTTGCTCCAGCAACTGTTTTTCTGGAATTTTGGAAAAGGCGACGAGCAGTGATTGCTTATGATTGGGACTTGATAGACTGGGAAGAAGAAGAGGTTTGTACAGATAATTTACTTATTTAATCTTGCATATAAAAGTATGGTTAAAAATCAGCAACCACTTTTTCCTTTTAGTTTTATTACCAGTTTCTATCTCAGATCAGAAGCTGAAAAATAAACATAATTTATCTTTAGGCAAAAATGAGCATTTTCTCCCAATATGAATCATCTACAACTGTGAAGAAACTCGCTGCGGGCTAAATTGTCCTCTTATTTTTCACACTGTAAATACAAACTAGCATCACTGAAGTGATTGGGCATTGTCTGGGTTTATGCTTCTAGGTTTGAGCAGAATTTGGCCTCCGTTGTGGTGGAACTATCACTAATAATTTATAAATCATTATTTAATTTTTTAACCAATTACTTGGCTAAAAAGAAATTCAGATTTAAAAAAGCAAAAGTTTAACCTCCCTGTTTCCCTTAACTAACTCTACGTCAACCATGAACTTCAAGATCAGCTTCTAGGAGTTGCTTTAAATAACTGTTAAGAATACTGAGTGGGGAAGCTCAAAATTCTTGTCACGGCTTCCAACAGTCTGGCAGCTCATTGTTTTAACATCACAGTATGTGTAACACCATTATGTACAGTTGTCATGCTTATAAAAAGCACATGGAATCTTTTTAGGAGAAAAGGCAATATACCATGTTTGTTAAGAATACGAAGTAAAAAGCATATGCATTCACAGCCTCACCCACTCACAAGTCCTACCAATGTTGTTATAGTTTCCAGTCTGTTGTTCATGTCAATTTAGTGGCCATTTAGGCTGAGTGCAAGAAGGGAGCCGGGCTCTGTCAGTCCAGACCAATGCTCCAGATCTTGGTAGGATGGAACCCAAACAACCATGCAAGACACCCATCTTTTATAGAAATCCCTTCTCATGCCGATTCATGGATTTTGCTGCATCATGTTGTAATCACCACTTTGCAACAAGTGTTTATCTGGAGATGGTTTTCATTGTTGTTTAATATCAGTCTTTTGACAGCTTTTCTGGGTGTTGCCCCACCCTGGTTTTGATGGGATTTGTTATCTTCACCTGTTGGGAGTGCTTGCTTCTAATTTCAGAGTCACCAATCTACCCCTCATCTATCACCAAATACTATGGACACATTCAAGAATTCCTTTGCATCCTCAAATCTCCAGCCCCTCCTCTGACCAGCTGGATGTGGGGCTGGCCTTCAGACAAATCTCTTTTCAGACACACACATTCTTCCCTCACACTAATAAAAATGACATAGTTACTTTCATAAAAACAGATCCAGTACAAAATATTCTAAGATTAATGTAACTCTTACTCTTATAAATGCTTCCATAATACACAAAATATTCTTACACTCTTAAATTAAAGAAGAAAACAATCCTAAGGGTTAATGGATGGCCTCAGTGAGTCACAAGGACCCTTCTGGTCTGTTCCTGCCTTAACATTAATAACAATGTGAACAGCTTGCTTGATGCATCTTTACCAACAGCACTAAGCTGCTCCTTTCTGCTAGTCAGAATGGAGGACCAGCAAGGTACACTTATGCTTATTATATTGCATAAGGCTACACTTTAGCTACATGGCTATTCAGACGCTGATTGGGTAATAGTATTATTGCCCAAAAGGGTTGCAGTCAAGTGGCTAGATTCACTCAAAACCCAATGGAGGAAAATACACGAGGAGAAGAAGTGAAAAATAGCTACAGTCTCCCTTCTGCAGCCCTCCTGTCACACAGGCATGGAAGGCTCTGATAGCAATAGCACCAGGAGCGTTCACAACCAGGGAAAGGACAGGATGCTTTGGACCTGCTAAGTGAATCTAGAACCCCTGCATGGCTTGGAGTATTGCTGCTCGGGTTTCCTTTCTTCCTGGCATGCAGGATTTTTTTGTGGGCACAGTGAGAGAATGGAAGAGGGATCTATTCCTTTCCCCTGCAAGGGGTTCATTTCCACTGTAGGAGGGCTACAATGGTCGTCAGGCTGCAGTAGTGGCCACTAGGGCTTGACTGCTATTTTGTAGTCTGTGGGAAAGAATTCTTTCCTCTGCCACTGTAGATTATCCCAATGCAGAACAAGACATCAGCCTAGGGACAGCATTTCTCTCTTTGGGAAGAGGCCACACAATGCTGCACTTGCTTCTCTGCTGATAAGCTGGGGAGGGAGGAAATAAGTGAAAAACACAAATGGCTGCTCTCGGCCAAGTGGAGAATCCCTGTGGAATCCCAGGGTATAAAAGAGCTGGTAATAAACCTAAAACTGACTCCAGTGCAGTGAAGTGCTTCACTGATAGTGCCCACATGCATTCAGACCAGTCAGTGAAGTCCTGGATCTGCTGGAGCGTACCAGTCACTCACTAATGAAAGCAGGTCTGTCACAGTGAGAGTGGCCTCAAATGGTTTAAAACAAATAAAAGGAAGTTCTCCTTCACACAGCTCACAGTCAACCTGTGGAACTCCTTGCCTGAGGAGGTTGTGAAGGCTAGGACTATAACAGGGTTTAGAAGAGAACTGGATAAATTAATGGAGGTTAAGTCCATTAACGGCTATTAGCCAGGATGGATAAGGAATGGTGTCCCTACCCTCTGTTTGTCAGAGGGTGGAAATGGATAGCAGGAGAGAGATCGCTTGGTCATTACCTGTTCGGTTCACTCCCTCTGGGGCACCTGGCATTGGCCACTGTCGGCAGACAGGATACTGGGCTGGATGGACCTTTGGTCTGACCCAGTATGGCCGTTCTTATGGTTTTTATGGTGCTAAAATTGTGCAAGTACACAAATATCTAGCAAGCAGTTTTATTTAGAAGTGAGCCTGGAAAAGGACCAAGTGAAATTTTATTCCTGCTTTGCTGAATTTCTACCATCTGCTGACAGAATCATAGAGAATTTCCTGGTGTCATCTTTGAAACAATATTGTTTACAGATACACATTTTTAAACACTCTTGTTTATGATGGTAATTGACTAGGGAGTTTGTTAAATTTTATGAATGTAATTCTGTGAAGTTAGATGCCTTTTTCTCACAGTGATCTGTTTTCTTCTTAAGACCTGCAGATTTCCCAACAGCCAACCTTTTACAATATTTATGCCTGGCTCTTAACGTCACTGATGTTGTGCTAGAAATAATTTTATGAAAAAAATGATCTAAAGTTTAAGCTTGCCTAACTATATTGCACATAAAATTGCTCATCTGTTTTTTTTAGGAAGAAATACGTCCCCAGTTTGAAGCCAAGTACTCCAAGAAAGAACGGATGAATCCCATATCTGGAAAGCCAGAGCCTTATCAAGCATTTGCAGATAAATGCAGCAGACTTATTGTTTCTGCATCTGGAATATTTTTTATGGTTTGAGAACTTTAATTTCTTTACTAGTTGCACGCAATATAAAATCCCATGTCGCTCTTGAGAGAAAGTGGAGATAAAGAATGTGGTAGTTTAGCACATGTGAGGGTATGTCTACATGTGAGGGTATGTCTACACTAGCTCGGTAGTTCGAGCAAGGAAGGCAAATGAGGGCAACCGGAGTTGCAAATGAAGCCCGGGATTTAAATGTCCCGGGCTTCATTTACATCTTCACGGGCGCCGCCATTTTTAAATCCCCCTTAGTCCGAACTCTGTGCCCGCAGCTACACGTGGCACGGAGTAGGTAGTTTGAATTAGGATCTAATTCGTGGAACGAGGTGTACCGGTAGTTTGAATTAGAGATCCTAATTCCAACTACCTACTCCATGCTGCGTGTAGCCGGGCATGGCATTTGGACTAAGGGGGATTTAAAAATTTTTTAATGGCGGCGCGCGGGAAGATGCAAATGAAGCCCGGGATTTTTAAATCCTGGGCTTCATTTGCAACTCCGGTTGCCCTCATTTGCCTACCTAGCTCGAACTACTGAGCTAGTATAGACATACCCTGAGGGCTTTACTTGTTTTTACTAAAAGGCAGCCCTTGTGAGAGACCCCGATTTGAGTGCTCTTAGGACTTGTGGTGATTCTGCTGCAGACACTGTTACAGTGCATGAAAAATGTTATCCTCAGTGTTAATGCAATGTGGGAAGTTAAACCCCTCCCTAGGTTTGCTAGGTGTCTGGTATTGACCCAGACAGACCCATATTTTTGCCTCCTGTCCGGTAAAAAAAAAAAAAATTCAGAAAATACCGGACACCTAAAATGTCCGATATTTTCTGGGTTTTTTTCCCTGCCAGGAGGCAAAAATACCTGACACCTGGCAACCCTTCACACACTCAGCAATGGGGCCCAGATACCTCCCTCCCAACCCCGGATCTCCCTGCTTACCTGGTTCTGCAGTGAAGCTGCCTTCTGGCTCGATGAAGAAAACAAGATGACCGCCTGCAAAAAGCCTAAAGACCTGAAGCAAGCATCTTTCTTTTAAAGCATATTATCACATAGTTTTGATGATAACCCCTAAACATTGTACATACTATTGCTTAGTGATAGGCAGTCATTGGGTAGGAGAGGGAGAGAAAGAAGGAAAGGTTTAGTTTAAAAATGGCAGAGTAATAACTCTGGAAAACAGATAATTTGTTAGCATGAATGCAGAGGGTGGAAATGAGTTTATACTTTTGTTTAAAGATTGTGCTGTCTGCTACAGCTGTGGCTGAGGATGCTTACCTTTGTGGGGCTATGTCTACACTGTGCTAGTTTTGCGCAAGAAATGTGCAAATGAGGCTGAGTGTGGAATATCTCCAAGCCTCATTTGCTCATTAATGAGCGGCCACTCTGCGCAAGAGGCTTTTTCACAAAAAGGAGCTGTCTACACGGCTCCTTCTTGTGCAAAACCCCCCTTTTGTGCAAGAGCTGTTCTTCTGCATTTTTTTTCAGAAACGGCTCTTGTGCAAGAGGGAGGTTTTGCGCAAGAAGGAGCTGTGCAGACAGCTCCTTTTTGCACAAAAGCCTCTTGCACAAAAAGCGGCTGCTCATTAATTATGCAAATGAGGCTTGGGGATATTCTACGCTTAGCCTCATTTGCATATTTCTTGTGCAAAACCAGCACAGTAGAGACATAGCCTGGGAGGTTACCTGTCTGCTGTATCAAACACAAGCTTTGGATCCCATGTGCTTCTAGCCATCTGGATCGGGACAAAGTCCAAGCACTGGTTCCAGACTCAAATTTTCAGGGTGTATAAATGATTATCACTGTCATGTCTAAACTCTGTACGTACATTGAGTAAAAAGAAGACAGAACAGGAAGCTTGCCTCAGGCTAGTGAGTTCTACATATGTTTTCAGTTTTGTGATATAGTTGGGTTATATATAGCCAATAGAGGAACATAAATAAACATTTGCACAAATACCCAAAGTGAACCATCATGTTGTCTTTTATTTGAAAATGTTCTGAAATTTTGAACAATTTAAATACTAATTCTTATAGTTAATTGGACTTATCATTCAACATTTGGCCCTTTTTTAAGGAAAGTACTTAAGCATGTGCCTAAAGATGAGCACATAGGTACGGGCCTTCCTTATTTGAGATGCTGTCTTGAATTGTGGGGTGAGAATCTCTCTTTATTAATTACTTAGTTTTACAATTTTTATGCTGGTGAAAAGTGCTACAAAAATGTAGCAAGTATCAGGCCCAAGGTTGGAATCCAAGTATCTTGGCTCTGGAACTTGTGTCTGTCTTACTCAGAATAAGACCTCCCTTGCTAAATCACTGACTCAGTTTGTGTATTAGTCACCTCATTTTGACATGGTGGCTAATAAAATGCCTTGCATTGACATAGTATTTTTATATATGTAGAAGTTAATGCATTTTATAAAGTTAGATAAATATTATTAACCTGGATTTGTAGTTGGAGTTAAGGCTTGTCTACACAGGAAAGTTATTGCCCAGTAAACCAGGGCGTGCATTTACTTCATACTAGCTATTTTTGTACTAACATCCACAGTTGACACCCTTACTGCACACTAAAAGTGTCCACAGCTGTTTAACTTAATACACTTTAAAATGTCTGGTTGCACTTCCACTTAAGGTTGTGGCAAAAACATTCCCTGATATTGATGGGGCCATAATTCCCAGTGATACCAGTTTCAGAGGTGTAGCCGAGTTAGTCTGTAACTGGAAAAACTTAAAAAACAACAAATAGTCTAGCATCATCTTAAAGACTAACAAAATATATAGATGGTATCATGAGCTTTCATGAGTACAACTCACTTCTTCAGATGACTGGAGTATTAGAAGTCCAGCTCCAAGAATAAATAAAGAAAGGCGGGGAGAATAGTGAATTGGATTGTTCAAATTACAAGGGGCACATAAGAACAATTTTCACCTCTCTAAGCACCCATTGTTTGGTTGGTCGATTAAGTCATTAGGATGTGGAAGATAATTTGTGAGCCAGCCCATTGCTTTATTCATTCTTCTCTGATAAGAATCAAACTTGTAAACAAAGTAAAGTTATGACTTTGGCTTGTGGAATTGGCCTGAAACAATACTTGACTTTGAGGTCCATTAACGAGTGTCCCAGCAGGATAAACTGTTTTCCAACAGGTTTCTGTGTGTTGCCTTTTCGGATATCTGATTGTGTCCATTAATTCTTTCCTATTGGGTCTGTCCAGTTTGGCCAATATACATGGCAGTGGGGCATTGCTGGCATTTATTGGCATAGATCACATTAGTGGAAGTGCAGTTAAATGAGCCCCTGATGTAGTGGCTGATGTGGTTAGGTCCAGTGATGAAATCGCTTGTGTAAATGTGTGGACAGAGTTGATACCAGGGCTGATTGGAGGGGTGGGTTCCTGGATGATTATGATGTAGGTGTGTTGCTTGGTTACTGGAAAGAATTTGTTTGAGATTAGCAGATTTGGGCCAAAGCTATCACTAAGCTTTCTTAATTACAGTGTATTGTCTTCAGATATCGCTGACATAGGATTTCAAGTAGCTTTTATTATCTGGAAAATCTGAAAGAGTAATGAAAGCTGAGCCAAAGGGAAAGAACAATTACACCAGTCAAACTTTCAAATTAGGATAGCTTTAGAATGAGTTTTGAGTTAAAAAAAATCAGATCATTATTTTAAAGAAAAACTTTGAGGAAATATTCTCCTTTGCTTTCAAAAGAAATCTGTCAATTGTTAAACTAAATCAGTTTTCCAATACAAAGCTATAGGAAAGCTAACTGAGTAGTGGAGGCTGGCTGTCACCTCTCCATAATAAATTAGATGCAATATTATCATCAAATTCAGGATCTTTCTACTGATCTAATTTTCAGAATTTAGCACTTGCATAAATAACTAAACAAACCCAAGAATCCCTTTGCTGCCTCCTTTCTGAGCCAACTTGCACTAATTCCCATCCAAAATTATCAGCATTTTTAGGGTTTTTGTCACCAGCTGTTTCTTGTTTCTTCTTCACTATTGATAATCAGTAAAAATTCATTTATAGTGTATTAATTATTCTCTTTTTCGAACCAAGTGCTTATGCTTTACCTTAGTGAAAAGTGCTTGAAATTATCACTTGGGATGCTTCTTTTGCCAAAGTCAGAGATGATTTGAAAAATAATGAGGTTTAGATTTAAGTCAGAATTGGGAAGCCTGTTTACTGAAGTATTATTTGGCTTCGTTAAAATTAATTCTGGACTGTACAATTTCAGTCTTCCTCCCTCCACCTTGTTAGTCTTAGAAACAAACCAAAAATTATTTTCAAAATTGATGTTGTTATTATGTGCATAGCACAGGCTTCCACTGAGTTAGAAATACATGGATTTTTACATATGAAATATCCTTGAAAAATGGTAGCTTAACATAAGAGAAAAGGTTGTTTTGCAAAACTTACAGTACAAGTAGTACTATTGGTTTTAGTAAACCCAGATGCCACCAGGGTCTACCTGGACCTTCATTCACATCCTTAAAAAGAATTAGTTGAACCACAGAGCTAATGGAACTGTAGCCCTCTCCACCTTCCAACTGCCACCCTGAAATTGTATTTACTTTGATATCTGAATGCCTTAATACAGTATGGGTATTTTGGAGCTGCCCTCTGCAAATCCAACTGCATTCTGTTGTTACCAACAGTACTGTCAATTATAAACACACTGTGGGCTCCTTAGAACATTACTGCATTAAAATGAGAGTTTTGTCTAATCACCCCACCTGCTGGCGTAGACCATATTATATTTTTCCTTAAAATATTGTCTGGTTAGATTTCCAGTGAGTAATATCTCCTTCACATCAAAAGTAAGTCTGTGCAGTCAATTTAAAATCCAGAAATAAAATAGAATCAAAGTTGTGCTGACTCAAAATAGTCATATGGATTATTGTATTGTGTTTTCCATAGTAAAGTGTTAGCAGATATCCTGGATAATTCGAGGTAAAATGCTAGGGATGGGAGCTGTGTGGGAATACTTAGGTGATTGTATATATGGGGGAGGGGGGGGTTGGATGACATAAAAATCTTTCAGTTGTGCTGCCACATTTAGTTGTGCTGTTCTAGAATTCCCTATTACTTTTGCATTAGAAGCAGAAAGTTTGCCAATAGGGGGCCACTGGATGATTGAGATGCTAAAAGAACACACAAGGAAGACAAGGCCATTGTAGAGAAGTTAAATGGCTTTTTTGCATCAGCCTTCACTGCAAAGGATGAGAGAGAGGTTCTCAAACCTGAGTCATTCTCTTTGCAGGGCCGGCTTGAGCCATTCCTGCGCCCCGGGCAGCAAGTGGGTGACACATGCGTGGCTCCATCCCTCCCCCCCCAACGCACTGCACACCTTACAGCTGTACTGGAGTAATTGGTGATTGATCCAGCCCTAAAGGGTTATTCTTGAAGAAGTTAAAACAGCTTTAATATGGCTCATATTGTTAAATCCCTAGTTATTCTTGAAGTTAAAACAGCTTTAATATGGCTCATATTGTTAAATCCCTGAATCTCTGAACATGAGACACATTTCTTCATATTTAATATCATGTGGTTACAATCTTCCCTGGAAGTAATTTACAAAGCCTGGATTTAACACTGGGAATCCTAAACCAGAAATAATCATTTGTATCTGTGACACTAGTATCCATATCAGAATCCTTGTGTCTTAATGTGAGCAGAATAGAAGAGATTCCACTTAAATTTTTAAAATTATTGGGCACCTCAGTTGTTTTACTGTCAAACTAATGATTTTCTCATTCATATATTAATGACTGACCAAATGCTTCTCTGAACATTAATGCTAAAATATGAAGCCCTGAAGAAGACGTGTTGGAAAGTCTATCCCCTAAACCCAGAGATGATCAACATAAAGCCATTCCCCCTAGTGAAAATTTACAGCAGCCTCAGGACTGCTGTATTGTACTCTGACGGCCTATCCATCCCAACAGGTAGGGACAAGACAGACAGGGATTTCCTAGACACACCTGGGTCAAAAGAAAGGGTGAGAGTAGAAGTTTCTAAGGCCTCTCTACACCACCTAGAGATCCCCCTTCTTCATACGGAATCAGCCTGTAGCTCACTAATCAAGTAACTTTGTGATTGCTTTGTGCTTCCAGAGTGACTAAGGGTAGCTTTAACAGATCAGATGAACTGATCCTACATGGTCACAAACACTTTAATCTTCTCCTTCTCACCTTTCTCTACATATGGATTGTGCCAACCTCTGTTAAATCCATTCTGTAAATAAAAGAATGGGAAAATGACTAGAAATCCTGGGGAGAAGGGGAAGTGTTGAACTGGTTTTTTGTCCTAATTAGCTATGACGTATCACATTTTTTGTCAGGTTCTAAGAATGCACTCCAGGTTATAGTAACACATGTGGATAGACCAAACATGACTGGTTTCTATTCAAGAAAATTTAATACATGATAAACATAGCTAAGATATAATATAAAATGCAGACTGAATAAGGTGAGTCACCAGTGCTAATAAAAAAATGTTTGATCACTGGGTGACTGGCTAAAATGACACACAAGTTGGTCATGACTGAAAACAGTTGCTATTTAACGCCCAACTGTTTTGTATGGTATGTCACAGCTGGCTTAGTGACCCCAGTTCAAAAGCAAAATTTTCTTTATTAATTGTCATCCAAGATGCAAGGGATGAAATCAAAGAGATTGAATTTACCATCCCTAGATATAATCCCTCCAAAGTAGTACAATGAAACAGCTCACTAAGGGTATCTCTAGACTGCGGCACTATTTTGGGATACTGGAAGTATCCCGAAATAGCTATTCCGCATCTTTTGAACCATCCTGTTATTTCAAAATAGATTTCAAAATCATGGGCTCACTATTCCGCTGTCCACGAGAGTTAAGGGAATAGTGATTTATTTCAAAATTTGGCATTGTGTAGACAACGCCAAATTTTGAAATAAGCTATTTTGAAATTAGATCAAAATAAGATATGCAATTTGAGTAGCTCAGATTGTGTATCTTATTTCGACCTACGAGTGCAGTGTAGATGTTCCCTACGGTAGTGTGGCAAAACTCTCTCAGTTGCTTCCTGTGCAGTATTTAACACAGGTTGAAATTCACCCCAGGCAAAGGGGCTGCAGAAAAGTCTACGCACCAGTGTTCCCTGTAAGCTGAGCTCTTGGGCAGCCAACCAGGAGAGGTACAAATGCTGCCCAACTGCTTAGCAGAGCTCCCGCAGCCAGCAGCATGTGTTCCTACAGGTGGTACACATCTGCACATTCCTTGGTACACATAACAAAATGTATTCCATACATGGATGGGAAAAATGAGAGGAAACATTGCTAGGCACCACTTAAATATTCAAAGTATGACTTATGTAGTCCATAAACCATGTACTGACCCTCTCCACAGTGGTGAATTTTTCCCAGCATAAGTAAGGTGTAGCCTGAATTTCCAGGGCTAGAAATCAAGCACCATTCACTCACACTGGAATACAGAAAACAATTGTATTTTTCAAGAGAATGATGGATTAAATGTAGCTATGATTTTAATTAGCTATCAAGTGTATTTTATATTACAGGAAATGGAGAGAAAATTAGATATTAATCCAAATTAAACCCCTCTCGGGGAAAAAAAATATTTGTTTCAGGACTTGATTTTTTTTTTTTTTTATTTAAGATAAGTTTATTTTTATAGTGGAGAATCTCAGGAAGAAATCAATTCCAATTCTGAGGGATTTCAGGCTTTTCTCTCTTTCTCTCTTTTAGATCTGTGTGGTGATTGCTGCTGTTTTTGGCATTGTTATTTACCGTGTTGTGACTGTCAGCACTTTTGCTGCCTTTAAGTGGGCTTTAATCAGGAATAACTCTCAGGTTGCAACTACAGGGACTGCAGTGTGCATCAACTTTTGCATCATCATGCTACTGAATGTGGTAAGTAGAGATAAGGATCCATAAGCAATAAGTAAAATAAACCAGGGGAGGCTAAACTTTCCCCACCAAAGCTGCTGCTGCTGGAAGCTGGTTTGCGAGTTTAGTGGTTTGACCAGGCTAGGCTTCTGCTGGATGGAAGAAGTTTTGCTTATTATGCATCATGCAGGTTGCAGGGCATGTGAGGAGGTGATATCCGCTACTCTGCTTTCTCAATTCATCAGCAATCTCCTTGGACTTCAGAAAGGTTACTGATGAACCTGGAAAGCTGAATAGCAGATACCACCTCTTCTGCTGCCCCTGAACCTGTGTGGCACATATAAAAAGCTCAGGTTCTTTGGGAAGAGTTTTTCCTTCTCCCACCAGATCCCTTGGGGTTTTGGGAGGGGAGACGCAGCTTGGCTGGGGTCAGCTTGGGGGTCCTCTGGCTATGTGACGGAGGCTCAGAGCTCCTCTGGCCATGGGGGAAGGGAAGAGTTGGAGCTTCCCTAGCCATGGGGAGAGGAGGAGTTGTGCCTCTGGCAGGCAGGGGGTAGGGTCTCAAGCAGAAAGAGCAGAGGCAGGGGGCTAGCCTCCCTGAAGGGGGGGGGGTCCTCCTGCTGCCCGCATGAGGATCTAAAGCAAACTATATTCAAGCACTTTATATGTGTCCCAGTCTGCATGGTGTTGAATGCCCTCATTTGCTAGGTACTTTAATGGGAGTTGAGGAGTCTCATCACCTGGTTATAACTGGCTCCAAAATTCTCTTTAAATGCAATACATGTTTGAAAAAGTCTAAAAATTATATTACATTAAAGAGACATTGTCAAGCCTGGCCTACATCTTATTTCTCCTATTTGTTTGCAAATTGCATGCAGTTCTTTAAATATGCTTTTTTTAAAAAAACAAAATGACTCAGGGTTCTTTTTTAATAGAGAGGTGCCTACTCACTTTATTCACACCAGAATTTTCCCCTTAGTGACAGATATCTACAGACTCTCTTTCTCCACACTTCACAGAGAAGTGACATTGAGTGGCAGTGAATTATTTCATCAGTTACTTCTAATCTCATGAGGGTGTGGTTAAAATCATCCAATCACTGCATTCTAGGAAAAAATTCTGTGAGGGTGGATTGAATCTGGCTTGTGAATCTGGTTTGACTTTGGGCCTGGGATAAAAGGATTCCTAGGCCATCTGTTCCTTGGTGGTTAAAGTTCCAGTGGGGTAGATCACAATGAGTTGGGTGGGTACAAAATGAATTTACCCCTCTTGTAAAGTGAGGGAGTTCTGTTGGTTTTCCAGGGGCTTCTGAATGTCCATGCAGCAGTGATCATCAGATGTGCTTTTCTGTCCCCTGCTTTTGGCAAGAAGGTTGCGTCCTTTTCTTTCAGATGCACATGTTGCCACTTACCTATGTCTTTGTCACCTTGAGACTATGGCTTTGCAAACACTTTACAGAGGGTTGCATCTTCAAACCATGCAGAAATTGCAGCTAATGCAGAATGCCTTGTCCCACTTAGTAACTGGAATTTCTTGCTGTACGCATATTACTCCTTGGCTCAATGAGCTACATTGGCTCCTTGGTTTGTTTCCATGTAACTTATCAGGTGTTGATTCCAGCCGTTGTGTATAAATGTGCCCACTTGAGAGACCACTTCACTTATATGTGATAATGAAGCATCTGCACTCAGTGAGATAGTAAGACTAACAGCTATGGTTTATAAGCAAAGGGGCTGTAAGAGACGCTCACCCCAGGAACTCACTTTTCCTCCTTTACACACTCAAGGCTGCATTTGGTGACCTTTTCAACAAGCTGTAAGATGTCTGTTTTCCCATGTGTTTCCTGAGGGAGAGCAAGGGAAGATTTTATTGAGAAATTGGAAGGAGGAGGATGGGATAGAGGCCAATGCAAAATAAAGAAGTTGCTTTGAGGTCTCTGTTTTAGTATTGCAAGGAAAATGCAATTCTGAGTATTTCCTTGAGTATTGCAAGGACAATGTCTTAAACCCTACAGCTACTAATAGTCTGTGAACTGGACAATAAAGTGAGGCCCAGGGGAAATGAGATCCATATGTATAAGGAAGCATAATCTGCAACATCTTTTAAGGAGGTGGCGAGGTTTCAAACTTAACTTTTTGCTTTCCATACTGAGTTAATGTGAGTTACAATAGGTGACTGATGGAGAAAATCTAAAATACTAACAGATTCTGACTCCCATGAGCAATCAGACAGTTGAGTCCTGCACAAGCTGTGAGAATAGAAAAAATAGCAGGGAGAAAGCCAAGATAAATGAATAAAACCAGAACTTGAGGTGAGAAGAGACAAGAGGAGTTTATTGCAGTCTGGGAATCCCTGTAAGATAACATGGACTGCAGACAGAGATTCTAATATTACTTCACAACCTGTCTGAAAAAAGCATCAGGGAACGCTCTGGGTCAATCAACATCTAGGTTGGATGCTTTTGAGAACTGGATGGATAATATAGTTACGTATTCATTCTGACAAGATTTGATGGCACTGAAGCTGACATTCTCCCAGTTAATCGTGCAATCTGCACCGAGAGCAATCATTAGCTTCACCTTGAGTAGTAAAGCCTGTTCATACCAATAATATCACCCAAAGAGTACAGAATACTGAATAAAATAGGATCCTATATGAAACCCTTTGAGATTTGATGTGATGAACTGCAGTTCCAGAAAAACAGATCCAAGCATCGTTAACAGAATCACAAAAGCTGTCTGTCAGGTGCAGAAGGAATAACAAAAAACCATAATATTCACATGCAGCCATGCAGGTCATTGTAGACCTGTAAATAGATATCATGATCCTAGTATGGAGAGTATCAACTGCACCACCATTTAGCGCTATTATTGTCTCCATAGGGAGATACTATTAAAGCTGGCAAGAGACCACTTTCTCAAATTATATTCTTTGAAACAAAAATAGGATTAAAATAACCACAGTTTATTTCAGACAAAGCAGAAAGCTCTGTAGGAGGAATGTTGCTGATAGCTATGATAGAATTTTTAAATTACTTGAGTTCTTAAGCAACTGGTTTAATATGTAGCCCGGGTAGCACTCGCTAAACCTTAGCAGCAGTTTGTAATATGAATTGTAGAAAAAGGAACTGGGAGGGGCACACATTGGAATTTAAGGACCCAATCCTGAAAGATGGTGACTCTTTAAAGAGATTTTGTGTCCCTTTGACTCCCATTAATATCAACATGAACTGAGGACACTCAAGACCTTGCAAGATCTGGCCCCAGATTCCTAGAAGGGGTATAACCATTTGTAGCAAATGGATACAGTGATTTAATTTTATAATAAAAATAAATACTGTGCATTTACATAGTGCACGTATAGTCACCACTGTGTAAATACTAACTCATGTCAAAGTTATTCTATTAAATACGTTATGAGTCATTGAAAGGAATTTTAAACCATGATCCTGCTCTCATAGACAAGTGCTAGTAAAGATTTAGAAGAACATCCAGTAGTTATAAATAAACACATTTGGTTACAGTGATCTAATAAATAATGTTCTTTGAGCTCCGATGTCTCTTTCCCAAAGAGAGCCAAAGTCTGTTTTCATTAGGTCTGATTTGCTTGTTAAATTTTCCACAATTTCCCTGGCATTTACAGAATTAAATGATTTTTTACAGATGGAACACAGTGCTAAATTTTTCATTAAAGTCCACACACTTTTCAGTTCCAATGGTAAAGACTTTCAAGGGGAAAATTAGTGATTTCACTTAAGTGTAGGAGAGACCATGATGCAGTGAATATGGCATTGGTCTGGGAATGAAGAATCCTGGGTTTTAGTCCTGGGTCTGCCAATTATCTGGTTTGTGATGTATTAATTTAGATGGAATAAAGGGCCCAAAGAATCAAAGATATTACCAAGACCCTCTTACTTTCTGACATTAAACAGTGTTAAATGGGGTTTGGAATTTACAGACTTCTGCCTGCTTAGTACCATGGCAAATGTCAGGGATGGTGTAGACGGAGCTTGGTCCTGCCTTGAGGGCAGGGGGCTGGACTCGATGACCTCTTGAGGTCCCTTCCAGTTCTATGATTCTATGAAATGTACCATTAAAATCCTTTTACTAAGCATATGGTAAAAGAAGGAAAAGCCGTTGTTAGAAGTTTTTGAAATTTAAAGTGCTAAGTGAGACTGTGATTGTAACAACACCCCTTCTTTCCTTTAGCTGTAGGGAGTCTTTAGAAGGAAGAAAAATAAAACTTGTTTGACAAACTGTTAGTTGGTTGAGTAGCAGCTGGCTGAGTAGCGGTCCTTCTGGGGAAAGAAGAAGGTAGTTGAGATGGCTGGAGGCTCTGGAGCTGTTGTTACTGTTGCGGATCACGTTTCCTAGAAGGCAAATGGGAAAAACACACACGGGGAAAAATGAAAACAATGGTAGAAAATGTTTCTGGTGTTAACTCTCACTTGCAGCTTTAGTGTTGGGAAAACACAGGCACAGGGCACAGTTTTGTACACCACTTCAAGACCTACAATCTCATGTCCATGTGGGCTGTTTAGGGCATTGCATTTAGCTATATTACTAGTCACCGGCTCTCAGGAGTGTTGCAAAATATATAGTCTTGGCTTGCTAAGCCAAAGCCTTATGAGACCAAAGGTAGAAGGGGAGGGGTAGGAAAGGAAGAAATAAGTTAAAGGGTACGTCTAGACTACACCTCTCTGTCAACAGAGAGATGTAGATTAAGCATGTCGAAATTCCTAATGAAGCAGGGATTTAAAAATCCTGTGCTTCATTAGCATAAACATGGCTGTTGCTTTTTTTCTAAATGAAGCTTTTTTGAAAAAACGGCAGTCTAGACAGGGATCTTTGGAAAAATAAACCTTTTTCGAAAAATCCTGTAAACCTCATTTTTTGAGGAATAGGGGATCTTCCGAAAAAAGGTTTATTTTTCGAAAGATCCCCGTCTAGAGCTGTTTCTTTTCAAAAAAGCTCCATTTCAAAAAAAAAAAAACAAAAGCGGCAGCCATGTTTATGCTAATGAAGTGTGGGATATTTAAATCCCTGCTTCATTAGCAATTTCAAAGTGCCTAATCTACATCTCTCTGTCGACAGAGAGGTGTAGTCTAGACCCGCCCTCCCGTCACATCTTATGCATCTCATCCCAGGTAGTGTTGGATTTAGCCAAAGAGAGGTGATGTCATCAGGATCTCTCTCTGGTCTGCTCAGGTCAGGTCATGACATCTCTTAGGGTTAGGATGAAAAAGGTCCGGTGGTATCACACTGAATCCTGAGATCCCAGGAGACGGAATGGGTGGCAGACATGATGGTGATGCTTGCTCCTTCCCTTTCTTTATTTCTTTCAGTAACCCAGCAACATAGTAGCCGTGAATGTCTTTTTCACGACCCCAAAAGAAGGTTCAGGGGAAGAATATCTTGTCATTTTGTTCACTAAAGAGGCCTAGTTTCTGACCCACCAATTTTGGTTCACTGATTTTTGGTTGCACACTTTTCTTGTTTACAAAGTATGATCTTACCCAAGTCCTTGAGTAATATCACAGACCAGTTCAGTCTGCCTCTCATACGTTCAACCCTTTTGCTATCGGTATTTGTTAAATTGACAGTAAAGGGTAAATTTGTAGACTCTGTCATCATAACAGACCTTGGACAAATTACATATGCTTTCTGCACCACATCGGTACAGGGGGATAAAGATTACTCTCCTCCTTCTAAGCACTTCTATGGGTGAAAAGCACTACATAAGAACTATGTTACTGTTATCACAATGCCAACAAATTTTACCAAAGAATGATTACCAGAATCTCTGTTTTAAAATGTAAGTAATTCTTGTTCATCCTACAAAACAGATCTATATTGTTAATGATGGTAAACTTTGTTGGTCACATTTTTTCAGAGGTGGTTTCTTATTTGTTACAGTTGTATGAAAAAGTTGCTCTTCTTCTGACAAATTTAGGTAAGTTATAAATGTAAAACTAAGATGATATTTTATTTATTTTTTTTATATTTGAGTGCCACTTCAAACTAAATATTGAATGTGAAATCTTAGTTCTGTTAAAGCCAGCCGGAGTTTTGCTATTGATTTAACTAGATACAGGATTTCTCCCTGAATCAGTATCCCCATTATATTTGCAAAATGCTGCTTAGGTTAATTGAATGTATGTTTTTAAAATATTGCACTGCATTTATAACTGTGTTTATAATTATAACAGTCTTTATAGTTTTTTCAAAATATCTATCAATATGCAGTAATGTCTATACAGCAACATTTAATGACAAGGCCCACCTTAAAACCTGACTGTTGCCTATTAACAAGTAAACTGCTCTCTCTCCCTTCTCCTCTCTCACCTGCCTCCTGCCTGATTCCTGTCTGAGCTTCCATTTATAGATATGAAGCTCTGATCTGAGATGCTGCAGATGGGAGAGGAAAAGGGAAATCTCCATTTTTAGTATTAACTATTATTTTTTTTATCTAGGGCATTTTTTTTATCTACACAGCAATATTATTTCAAAATAACTTAATCCATATCTACACAGCAGGTAGTTATTTCAAAATAATGTTGAAATACTGTCAAACTGGAGAACTTCTTACTCTGAGGCTACATCTAGATTGCAGGCTTCTTTCGGAAGAAGCTTTTCCAGAAGAGATCTTCCGGAAAAACTTCTTTTGAAAGAGAACGTCCACACAGTAAAAGCACATTGAAAAAGCAGTTGAAATAATGAAAAATATCCACAAAGAAAGCATTTATTTCAGTTGTGTGAAGTCTGCTGCAGGTTGAGAATATATTATGCTGCATACTAGTGTGCATTCTGCTAACTTAATTGTAGTAGACTGCAGAAATGAGAACAATAGAAGAGAAGCTGAGTTTAAAGTACATGGAAGAATGCAGGAGTTGTCTATTTTGTGTCCAAATTAAGGAAATGGAATGTTATCTCTAGCAAACTAGCAAATCAATTCTTATAATTTCCTGTGATCTTGAAAAGCCAGCTCTAAAACATCAAATAAGATTTGTAGGAGATGTTTACAAGCCATCTTGTTGTGAATTATATTTTTTATACAAATTCTGCGGTTGTGTTATCATTTGAGACCAGCAGGCAAGTTTGCCAGCCTGGAAAAAGTGCATGCAGTCCCTCAATATAGTAAGATTAGTGATCTCAGGGCTTGTCTGCACTACATGGTGGATTGATGCTGCAGCAATCAAACCACTGGCAATCTATTTATTGCATCTGCTGAGTGCTCTCCCATCCACTCTGGTACTCCACCAGGATAGAAGAGTAGGCGGAGTTGATGGGAGAGCATCAGTCGCTGACCTTACCACATGGAAGATATTGTGGTAAGTAGGTCTAAGTACATCGACTTCAGCTGTGTGGCAGCACATCTTAGATTGACCAGTGGGGGTGTAGTGTAGACCAGGCCTAATTAAATCTCTCAAACTCTGTTTTCTTTATTCACAGAGCAGCCTCGGACTGAGTCTGAGTGGGAGAACAGCTTCACTTTGAAAATGTTTCTTTTTCAGTTTGTTAATCTGAACAGCTCTACCTTTTATATAGCATTCTTCTTGGGAAGGTAAGAATTGGTTTCTGCTCACTGTTTGTGCTTGGGATAGAGAGCAAAGAAAAAATTATATTAATCATGTTTGCCCTTCAAAATGGGCCCATATGATCATAATTGTGAAGTCCAGGTTAAATTTAGGAGAAAAGGTTAAATTTAGATTTTCCTTCTAAAAAGTTAGAAATGGAATATGCAGTTCCCATTCTCAGACATTTCCTTAATGCTAAGTCCTAAAAATTCCACTTCAGAGAACTGATGTTTTCTGCTGATAAGACATTTACAAATCACTTTGCTTTTTATATGTGTAATTTGTACTGATAAGAGAAGAACTTAACGTTTTGATATTTCGTCTCTAGTCCCTGAAATCTAAGTAATTTTTGCTTTACATGATGTATACTTTGGCCAGTTTGCAGCAAATTCATAGTTATTATAAGCAATGGAATTTGCTTTTTCTGCAGAAAATAAGAAAAACCTTATATCTGTTCCTATTTTCCCCCTGCAGAAATCAAATCAGCAGATTTGAATTACCTTTTAGTATGAATTGTTGGAATTGAGATATCTGAGCAAATCTTATGAGTGCATCACACACAGTATAATTGTGAAAAATATGCACTGTTGGTGAAAACTTGTGTTTTCACTGGATTTGCAGAAACTGTCACACCAAATTTTTCATTATGTCAAAAGGAAGTGGAGTAGGCATTTGCATTTCATGGACTCTTTCCAGCCAGTAATAGCACATACTGAAATAGTTCATAACAGAGCTTAGAAATAAAATTCTCTTGACAGTTTTACTTAGTCTTGACATTATGCTCTCCTTATCTGCTGAACATCAGAGAATGGAATATCAAGTACTAGAATGAATCATTTAGCTAAAGCACAGATGAAAATTTGCTTAGTTCTTAATATACATTATATTAGAAATCCTTCAAATCATTCTACATAATTACATCTTTGATATTTAAATCAATCCTGTTTGGGCAAATGTTGAGCTTTTCTTTAAGATTCTGATCAGTAATAAATAAGTAAGAAATAGCTGATGTTTGTTCTTATGTTGAAGATTTACTGGACACCCTGGTGCCTACTTGAGGCTGATAAACAGGTGGAGACTGGAAGAGGTGAGTATTCTGTAACTCTTAAGCTTTCAGGGGAAAATCCAATACAATCTGATTGAAGTCCATGGCTGGTGCAGGATATGAGCAAGGGCAGACTCTGGCCCCTGGCTTAGATTATGTTGAATGTATCACTGAGGGACTGTATCACAAACTGACATGGTCTACTTGTTGCATTGCTGACCTGCAGCCTCAAATTTTAAAGAAAACAAAATCCATGTAAAACTAAATAAAAAAACTGAGCAAGCTTCCCAGTAGAGCTGGTAGAATAGTAATCAGGGATTAGAGAATGTAACAGTTACACGTGAGGAGGACTCACTTTGCAATTCACCCAATAGCCAGTCTCATTTTTATAATTATATTCAGAATTCAAAAGTAACTGATGGATATTGTAAATGAACAATTGTCAGCCTGTGAATGAATGAGTGTCCAGTGTTACTATTTGGTTACCGAAGTCACATGATTTTGTCCTTGATTCAGTTTTGATTCCCCCAATTCCAGAGAACTGGTTTTAAACCTATTTCCTAAACCTATTTCTGGAACTCATAACTTTAAGGAATGCAAGGCTTCATTAAATCAAATACTAAATAATAATAATATGGTGTTGTATTATCATTATATATGCACACACAGAAATACTGCTTTTTAGGCAAAAACTAATTGCCTTAGGTGTCAGCAAAAAATTTCTCCCCATTCTGCCTGATCCAAAGCCTACTATTGAAGTCCATAGAAAGACTCCTATTCTCTTTAGTAAGTAGAGCCCTGCAGAGTTACAAAATTTTATATTCACATTTGTATCTGCAAAAGTGAGCCATGGACATTTGCATCCACTTCTGTGGATGCAGATACCCACAGTTATTGCAGTTTTGCAGGGCTCTGTTAATAAGCTTTCCATCAGATCTGTGCAGAATTACACAGTGGACCAGCTGCTTTTATCATGAAGACTGAGTTGCCTTCATCCTAAGCATCTGTTTCTGGCCATGGCAGGATGCTAGAGAGTGGATTTAAAGTTCTAGTGATTTTATTTATGTACTCCTTTGGGCTTACATTAAAATAGCAAAAACAAAAGCTTCTTTAAAAGTTTTATGAATTGCTATATGTTGATTTCTGCAAATCTGAAAGGATTAAACGAGTCAGAATTATTTTTTAAGACACTCATTTTTCCTTTACTCTGCAGTGCCACCCTAGCGGATGCCTTATTGATCTCTGTATGCAAATGGGTATTATAATGGTGCTAAAGCAGACCTGGAATAATTTCATGGAGCTGGGCTACCCGTAAGTAAATCTACTGCCTTTGTTTATAGAGAAAACAGAAAATACTATTTTCTTTATTGCCTTCAGATTTTCTTAAATGGGAGAAAACCACCACAGTAATTATAGTGTCACACTGAGACACAGTGGATAACTCTGCTGAGATTTTCAGATGCATGGTGATATTTTCATAAGACAAAGTCTATCGAAATGAAATCACACAAATATAAATAATATTTTATTAGAAAATATTTCATTTCCAGAAGTTGTGGTATTTTCCCATTTAAAAAAAAAAAGTTTCTGTACCATACTGCTCTTCACTACACTGATATGTTAGACTCATGCTTTTTAGTCTATACCCATCAGTTCTAATTCGATTTCTCCTTGCTGGGTGACATAGGATACCTAAAAGGTATGAGCCAGAAAAAGTGCACTGCTGGTAGGCAGTCAAAAATGTGCAGGCACATTTACTGACCTGGCCACATTTACTGACAATGTACATACTAACTTGAGGCTTTGTTCTAGCTAAAAGGGACTGCTGTTATTTCATTTAACAATTCATGGAATTAATATTTAATGGATTGCTATCGGCGATTGCTATTGGCAATTAGGAACACAGATCAATGGAGTGGAGAGCCACAGTTGGGAAATGAGCAAGTAAAAGAAAAATTAGCACTGTAAATTTTTGTACCCTTGCAGAGGGCCAATGTTCACATCAGTTTGCCTTGCTGCAGAACCCACAGCAGAGCCAGTGTCATGGAAAGGAGATTTCAGGCTCCAGAGCTATAGTATCCACATCACAGCAGTTCTGTTAAGCTGCTTTAGCTCTTGCTGAACAGTTATAAACTTTTGAGTAAATTGCCCCAATCACTACCTGCTAGGCAAGCAAGGTGTTGAGTATGCTCTACTTTCCTTCTGTTTCACAGGTCTCTCCTCCTCAGCATGCCATGATGCTGTAGCAGTCACATGCTGTTCCAGTTTGAGGAATTCATTAGAAAAAGCAGCAGCAAAATTGTTGCTGCTTTGCCTCTTCTGTCAGTTTTTGACGGTCTAGTTCCAGCTTTCTGCCAGACATTAATGAGCACGTTGAAAGCTAATGAAAAGCAGAGAGGGAGATTAAAGAAGAGCTAAACGGGAGCTAGGAAAAGATCAGTGTAAAGGATGGGAGATTTAATAGAAGTAATGTCTGTTTCACACAAAGATGGGGACTCCACTATAGAGTTCCAGCACAAAGCTGAAGCTGAATGAGGAGTTTGCACCGCATCTGGTACCAGGGACAGAGGCACTCAGACTCCCTACCCTTAGCCTGTGAATCCTCAGCAGGCAGGAACCTCTCCTTTTTCTGCCAAACAGCCTCGCTAGGAGGTTTCTAATCTTCTAGCTAACACTGCAATGTGTTTGGGTGTCCAATGGATTCAGGGAGGATCCTTTATAATATACCTTCATTATGCCTTTGTACAGGGGCCAGCTACTGTCTGTGTAGTCCCTGGTCAGTGCAGCCATTGCGTTGTACTAGGACCAATGGTGGTGGAAGCTTCCCCAAGGGGCGGTCAGCAATGAGAAAAGTTAGACCAGCCTGCCATAGAGCTCCCCCTCCAACCATGTGCTCCCCAGAGCCTCTGGAGGAATCTGAAAGAGTCAGGGCCTCGTCCAAAGACTCCTGTTTCTATATGAGTTTTATAGTGGGATCCTAAAAGAAGCCTGTCATGTCTCACCTGAGGTGTGCGACGTTAACTTGAGTTTTGAAATGTCTGCTATGAAAATGCCCAGAGAGCTTTAAAAAATCAGTTGTGGGAGCCAGACACCAGAGTGACACTGACATGCTGCAGAATTCTAGGGGCTGGATGAGAACCAGTCTATGCTGTATTGGTTATAGGATTTGACACACACATGTAAGGCCAATGCATGGAGCTCAAGTGATGCTTCAGTGCATCACATTTCCATTCAGAGAGAACCGTCCATCTCCCTTCTTAGCTCTGATTGACTCAAGGTATTTGCTATTCTAGGCTGGGAATAGGAAGGAAGTTCAATAAGAAATGGTCTTTTCTTAGTTAAGAACATCTATATCCGAAGCACAGTTCAGGAACTTTTCCCCCATCTTAGAGAAAATAAAGGAGAATGTTCTGTGCTACCAGCCACATCTGTTACTAATATCAAGCTCTCCCACACACTGATACATTCAGTTTACAAAATACATTGTCTAGTCCAGCCCAGTCTCTTTCTCATGACTAATAAGTAATCAAACTAAGCTTGCCACTCAGCCCTCCAACACCGCTAACCCTCAGAGAATGGCACAGAGAAAGGAGTCTTCAGAATCTCACATCTCTGTGTTGCTAACTGGCAAGTAGTAGCCAATAATATCAGACTCTCTGGTCCGGCAAGATCTGTGGTCTGGCAGGACCATGAATGTTCCAGGACCGCAGGACAATAAATGTTCCAGGACCAAAGTCCCAGTGGAAGGCTTGTGGCTGGAAGCCCTGCAGCGGGGCTGCCTGGTGGCAGCAAAACTGCCCTGTGGGACTGGGAGGCAGCAGCAGTGGGGCAAGGGCTGGGAGTCTTGCAGCTGCCCAGCAGGACTAGGAGGCAATGGGGCTGGCCCACAGAACCAGAAGCCCAATCACAGGGCTGCCTGGCAGTGGAGCCAGGAGCGGAGCTGCTGCCCAGTGGCACAACTCATCAAGGCCAGAAGGCAGCAGGGGCTGCCCAGCAGAGCTGGACCCCAGCAGCAGCTTCCCCACAGGGCTAGAATCCCAGCAGTGGGACTGTCTGGTGGCAAGGTTGCCATGGTAGGGCCATGGGTCCTGTGCACAGAGGGGCCAGAGGTAGTGGGGAGCCAGCTGGGAGGCTGACAGCCAAGCATGCTGGAGGGGCAGTGTCAGGGGGAAGCAGAACGACCTCCCCTGGTCTAGCAAAATCCCTCATCCTGGACCAGTCAGATCCCAATGGTGCTGGACCAGGGAGGTCCAACCTGTAGTAAGATTCTTCCTCTTGCAGTTTATACATGCACACTTGTCTAAAATGCTGAATAACAAATGCATGAGTGTTTGCACTTTATTTGAAATATGCAGGTTAATTCAGAACTGGTGGACCAGGAGGAAATTACGACAGGAACATGGTACACAGAGAAAAGCAAGCTTCCCACAGTGGGAAAAGGACTACAATCTTCAGCCTATGAATGCTTATGGACTCTTTGATGAATACCTAGAAATGAGTATGAAAATGTTCTGACTTTACTTTTTTATGCTTGATTTTAATGTTGTTACCTTTTTTTTAAGACCAGAGGTCTGAACTGTTAAAATTAAAAACTTTAGAGTACTGTTGTATGAAACTAGAGATTGCAGAACGATTTCCATTATTAAAAGTTAGGTGAGGAATAGGAGTGAATTGTTAAGAACCAAATCAGGGCAATATTTCTAATGTGATGTAGCAAGCTCCTATTTGTGAAACGTTTTTACCTGATAAGTTGTTTTCATGAGCAGAGGTATATTCCCTAAATTTCAGCCTCAAAATTTTTTCTCCCTACACTACATGGTTTCTTATATCATTTTTCTTACACAGATAATTCCACTGAACTCTGATAAAATCTGCCCTATTTGTAGTGAAGCGTGTGGCAATTGCTGTGTGGTTGCTGGTGACTTGAGACTGGTACTGATTGGTTGCAGATCAATTTGGAGTCGGGAAATCAATTGTTTGGACTGTCTCAATGCCAGTGTGCAGGGCAGTAAATCACATTGTGCTACAAAGGCCTGTGCCTCTGGGAAACATGCATGAAATAGCATGCAGTTGTGCAGAAATGGGTTTCTCTAACTCTGGAGGGGCGGTAGCTGGCACACCTATTCCAATTTTGGTATTAGACCACCTTTTGCAGGCACTTGTGTCATCCTGGGCATTTCATTTACATCAACCCGGGGTAGTGGAGGAAGGTGCATAACACACACGTCTCCAGAAACACAGCCTGTATAGAAAGCTACAAGCAGGGACTTGGTTTCCAGAATAGAAGATTACAGTGGGGTGGGACACTGAAATGCCCATAGTGATCCCAGAAGACCCAGCATACCCCTGACAGCTGGGACTCTTGAAACCTTACACAGAAAACCACACTGCAATAAGGAGCATTTCAACAACAGGCTGAGTAGGTGCCAGATGACAGTGGAATGTGTCTTTGGCAGATGAAAGGTATGCTGGCAAAGTGTTTGGGGCATGTTAGACTTCAGTGAAGATAATATTCCCGTGGTCATAGCTGTGTGTTTTATGGTACTTAATATTTGTGAAGCTAAAGATGCAAGGTTTTCTCAAGATGGGAAGTTGAGGCAGACCACTTGGCTGCCAATTTTCAGCAGCCAGATATCAAGGCTAAGCGAGGGGCCCAAAGGTAGGCAGTTTGAATCAGAGAGGTGCTGAGGCAACACTGCAAATGAAAACCAGCAATGTGTATCTCTGTGAGTTGGTGTTGCAATGTTACATTATGTCTAGTTTTGCCTAGGAAGCGATCGTGATCTCTATGGCCTTACATTCCAGGAAGCAAATGATTAAACTGCCTGTGCATATACTGGTAGTGTCTGCTATCTGAATCTGTAGGAAACAAACAAACAGATGAGTTACTGTTGCAAAGCTTTGCTTTTATTAAACAAGAAACAACACACAGAGAGACACTTGGTGGCAAAGGAAGTCCCAGGGAAAGGCAGACTTACATAGCTATGTGTGTGCCCAGCTATCATTTTGAAAGTTGTCCACGGGGATGGAGTGAAGGGGAAACTGAGGATTCCCAGAAAGCTAAAGGAGTTGTGTGGGCAGAGTTTGGCAAAAGGGGGAGGGGAGGGAGACATGTAAAAGTGTTCTGAATGTGCTGTAGGGATGGCTGGGCATGCATCTGTTAACTCTACAGCAATATTAAAGATTTCAGCATCTGTGTTTGCTCCTCCATGACTTTCCTCATCTGCTCAGTAGACAAACTCCTGATTTTCTTTTCTGTCCAGCCTTTTCTGATTCCCTCCACCAGGCCCACCAACAGGTTGGGGGGCAGCAAAGGGGGCAGTTGCCTCAGGGCCTGGAGAGTCAAAGGGGTCCAGAGCTCCCAGCTGCCCCTGGCCCCTTTGAATTGCTGCTGAAGTGCACCTTCACGTGGCTCTGAAGACTCAGGGAGGTTGCACTGCACTCTGGGTGGCACTAAGAACTAATTGCCCTTGGCCCTGCCCTCTTCTGCCCTTGGCCCTGCCCCTTCCAGGAGCATGGAGACAGCCCTTCCCTCCCCGCGCACACATACCTTGTCCTGGGGCTTGTGGTGGCTGTTGGCCCCATTGCTCTCCACTCCTTGTCTTCTCTTTTCTCTGTATTGGAGAAGCACAGCCTTCTTTGCTCCATCTTGGGTGCTTTCTTATTTGGCAGAAACACTCAGCTGGTGTGTGGGGGGAGGGAGGGTTCTAAAGGCCACATCTGCCACCGTATAGAACAGATTGGGTGTCTAAGCTCTCAGGAAATTCCAGCATTTGTTCTCTCACCCTGGTGCTGACCTTTTGGGAAAAGAATAGACACATTGGTGCCACTAGGACAGTGATTTTTTTCAACCTTTTTTTTCTCATGACCCCAGTTGAGAAAATTGTTGATGCCCGTGACCCAACACAGTTAAGAAAATTGTTGATGCCCGTGACCCAACATAATTTGACTAGAGTGTGGGCTCTGGGGTGAGGCTGAGGATGAAAGCTTTGGGATGTAGGAGGGGGCTCTGGCTTTGGGGTGGGGTCAGAGCTGTGGCAGGAGGAATTTACCTTGAACAGCTTCTGGTCAGTGGTGCAGCGGGAATGCTAAGGTAGGCTGCCTGCCTCAGCAGACCATGCTACACCCCAGAAGCAATCAGTAGCAGCTTCCCAGCCAATGGGAGTGTGGAACTAGTGCTCAGAGCAGGGGCAGTGCTCTCCCTCCTTCAACCTAGGAGCTGGGCCTGCTGCTGGCAGCTTCTGGGGCGCAGCAGAGACAGAGCTGGGCCTGCTGGTGTCAGGAGAGGCACCTCCCCCACTGGTCACCTGATCATTCAACTGCAACAAGACCCAGTGCCTGACATTCCACGACCCAGTACTGGGTTGTAACCCCTTGTTTGAAAAACACTGCACTAGTATATAGTGATAATACGGTACTTCATAAGGAGCAAGTTTACTAGCTATTTGACATCTCAGTAGCCTACCATTTTGGATAAGATCTTGAAAGTGATATTGAAAACACTAACTTTTTATTTCCTCTCCTAGTTCTTCAGTTTGGATTTACAACCATCTTTGTGGCAGCTTTTCCACTGGCACCACTGCTGGCCTTACTTAACAATATTATAGAAATCCGGCTTGATGCATACAAATTTGTCACACAGTGGAGGAGGCCATTAGCCTCAAGAGCCAAAGATATAGGTGAGCTGTTTATGTGTATCTTTTTAAAGACAGAGCATTGATCACTTGATGAAATCAATTATTTTAAATTAAAGTTACAAATCTTTACTGGCTTAAGCTTTGATTCCTAACCTCTTCCTCTTTATATAAAATAATACACAATTTTGGCTCCTAAAAAAAAGCTGTAAATATTCAATGTAAGTTTATTTTTGTTACCTACTAATCCAAATTGGAAAATAGGTTTTAATGACTGGGTGCATGAATTATCAGTCCAGATTTTTAAACTAAGTGTTCTGTGCTCTCTGGTGGGTTTTCCTTTGGTGGATGCACTTTCTTAGTATCTCGTGCTTATTTTTTTGAATATAAAGTAAATTAAAGACATTTTCAATGATGCAAATTGAAGTAATTTCCATCTCTGAGAAGCTTTGCACATTTTCTAGTCACTCAGCCAAAAGTAGGTTTACCTTTGACTGGTTGAGAAAACTAAACAGCTGACGAAAAAAGGGGCAACTCTACTTACTGGTTCTATCTCCTCAGAGGGGTAATCTCTAGGGCTACGTCTAGATTGCAAGCCTCTTTCGAAAAAGAGCGTCTAGACTGCAAGCAGTACTTTCGAAAAAGCAAGCCGCTTTTTCGAAAGAGAGCACCCAGGCAATCTGGATGCTCTCTTTTGAAAAAGCCCTGTTTGCATTCAAGAACGCCTTTTTTCAAAAGAGCACTTTCGAAAAAAGACATTCTTCCTCGTGAAATGAGGAGTACCGCCGTCGAAAGAAAAGCCGCGTTCTTTTGATTTAATTTCAAAAGAACGCAGGTGTAGTCTAGATGCAGGTGAAGTTTTTTCGAAAAAAGGGCTACTTTTTTCTGACTGGTTGAGAAAACTAAACAGCTGACTAAAAAAGGGGCAACTCTACTTACTGGGTTCTATCTCCTCAGAGGGGTAATCTCTAGGGCTGCGTCTAGATTGCAAGCCTTTTTCGAAAGAGGCTTTTTCGAAAGATACTTTCGAAAAAGCCTCTTTCGAAAAAGAGCGTCTAGACTGCAAGCAGTACTTTCGAAAAAGCAAGCCGCTTTTTCGAAAGAGAGCACCCAGGCAATCTGGATGCTCTCTTTTGAAAAAGCCCTGTTTGCATTCAAGAACGCCTTTTTTCAAAAGAGCACTTTCGAAAAAAGACATTCTTCCTCGTGAAATGAGGAGTACCGCCGTCGAAAGAAAAGCCGCGTTCTTTTGATTTAATTTCAAAAGAACGCAGCTGTAGTCTAGATGCAGGTGAAGTTTTTTCGAAAAAAGGGCTACTTTTTTTGAAAAAACCCTGCAGTCTAGACACAGCCTAGCTGGCTGGTAATAATAAAAAGTAACAATGAAATAATTAAAAATAACCTTTTCACTATTTTATAATTTAATTGTGTTTATAATTTTAAAATGTAATTTGAAGAATGATTTAAGAAGATGGAAACATCCATTTAGGATCAGATTCTGATCCCCTTAATCACAGTGAATACCACCTTTCTCCAGTCCCAGTTCTATAAAATATTTACATGTGCTCATGTGCTTTGCTGAATCAGGCTCTGTGAGCAGTTGGCTTCAGTGGGATTGCTAGCAGGGTAATATGTAACTCAGCATGGGTAAAGGTATGGGATTCTGGCTATTTAAGCATTCAATCTTCAGTGTGAAAAATTGTGATACCTCTTCTAAGTGACTGTGCAAAGGACTCTGTCACCAGCAAGACCATCCCTAGGAGGTTATGGGGCCTGGGGCAATGCTGTACATACTACCAGGCATGGTAGTCAAAACAAAGCACCACAAACTATAACCCAGAACACTACATTGCAGACACCGTTCTCCCTCTGTGGTGAGGATGAGAGCCCAAACCACATTGAACAGCTTCTGGTTAAAACTGGTTGAAGTTTTTCAATCAAAACTGTTTTGAGACCCCAGAAAAATGGATTTTTTACTAACTTTTCATGAAAAATTTAACTATCTTTTTACTTGGCAAATTTCAATTTTTCAAGGAAAAAAAATGAACACTCAAAAACCTTAGTTTTCATTTTCTCCTGAAATCAAGAATTTTCAAACAAAAACCCAAAACATTTTGTTTAAGAAATGCATGACAGTGCTTCATTGTAGTTGTGGTTTGGCTGCTTCCAGGGGCGGATGAGAGTGCCGCGGGGCCCAGGGCAGTGCCGCGGGGCCCCAGGCAGCAAATTTTCATGGGGGGGCCCCCCCTTTGACACAGCGCATGCGCCGTGGTGCCAAGGTGCATGCGCGGGGCCTCGGGAAGCGCGGGGCCTGGGGCAGCCGACCCGCTCGCCCTGCCCTAAATCTGCCGCTGGCTGCTTCAAGCTCTGTTCCCTAGCCAAACTACATTTCCCATGATACTCTGTAACATCATGGGTGATGTAGTCCAGCCAAAGGTCCTATCCCATAGAGAATAGGTGCATAAGCACCAAAAGTGCTACTTCCATGTAGGGTTGCCAGGTATTGACTCGGACAGTCCGGTATTGTCACCTTCTGTCCAGTAAAAAAATTCAGAAAATACCAGACACCTAAAATGTCCGGTATTTTCTGATTTTTTTTTTTAACCCTGCCAAGCTGCAAAAATACCAGACACCTGGCAACCCTATGACACACTTAGGAACCAGGCCCAGCCCCTGGATTCCCACTGGGGCCCCCAGACGTCCCTGCCCCCTGCTTATTTGGTTCCGCAGGGGCTTGTCTTGTGGCTGGAGCAGAAAAACAAAATGATCTCTCGCAAAAAAGCCTTTTCTTAAAGGGGCCATGCTGATTTTTTTTTTCTTAACTGCTGTTGGGGTCCTTTTTTTTTTCCCAACAACTTTAGGTCTCCCCCCCTTTTTTTTCTCAACAGAATTTTTTTCCCAGTGTTTTTTTGGGGGGGGGGGGGGGCGGGTGGTTCAGTATTTTTGGTTAAACCATCTAGCAACCCTACTTCCATGAGACATGTCATCACCATATCTGAATTGAAGTGTTTGGTTTTAAGCCAAGCATTTCCAGCAGAAATGTTATGTTTTCACTTTTTTGCAGAAAAGTCAGATTTCTCTGCAGAGAAAAAGCCCTGGCTTTCTAGACATGTCTAATGTTAGATAGATCACCCCAAGGCAGTTCTAGCAGACATTCAGATACTGCCATAATAAGGGGAGTAATGTGGAATAGAATAAATCATGTTTTCTAAATAAAATAAGTATTTTTAAATGGCCTTAATTTTTAAAAATACTTATTGATTTTTATGCAAAATCACTAAGCTAAAAAATGGTGTAGCAAATACCAGTCATAAGTGTTAAGCACAGGTCAGCTCCTTACATTATACACTTCTCTTCTTTGATTCCTATCTGTCAGCTTAACAGCAACAATGGGACTGAATGAAATTGTTCCACCTCTTTCTTGTACCAACTTTATAGCCTTGGTCAACTTTCATACACATAATGTATTAATTAGCTTAATGAGGACTCCTGCCCAAAGATGAGACACTTCTTTTGCAATATAATGGATCAAACGTTTTTAAAAACATGATGAAACCTTCAGTCTTGCTTTATTAAGTTCCTTGGAAGTTCTCCTAATGATTTTCACTATGTGCACAGCTCTAGTAATGAAGCTTCAAACAATTCTAGAAGATTAAAAATAACTTGCAATGTAGGAGTGCTTTGCTGCTGCTTAAAAGTATTTTAGAGCTGGATAAGCAAAAATGGGCACCGACTTATCACCCACTGGCAGTCAGCTCCCTCTCTTCCCCCCCCTCCAGTGCCTTTGGTTCTTTCCCTTCCTCCAAGCATCTCCTGCACACTATGTAAATAGCTATTCCACAATATGCAGGAAGTGCTGGGAGGGAGGGGAAGGAGCAAGGGTGAGAAGAGGGAAGACAGGGATGGGACGTTTGGGAAAGGGTGGATTGGAGCAGGAGCAGGGAGTGGAAAGAGGAGGGAAGGGGATGAGGTGGAGGCTTGGGGAAAGCCAATGTCCTGTTGTCGGTCCTGCAGCAGGCAAGGTGTCTATTACCCTCTGGATAGAGAGGAAGTTGGCGCCTATGTAAGCAATTCACCTTTCTTCCGTAATAGGCATGGAAACTCAAAAAGAACAGCTATGTCAATGGTCTTGGCTAAGATTCATGCTCTTACCATCCAAGTATGATGAATGAACATGGTGTCTTGGCTGGCTATCATCATGCTCATTTGTTGTGATGGCATTTTGCCTAGTCTCCAGTTGGAAGACCTCACTCTAGTGCCAGGAGTGCTTTTGGGCAGCTTTGGCTGATCTGCCAGCTGCGACCCTTCCTGAATAAGAACGACTTGGGTACAGTGATTCATGCTCTTGTGGCATCCTGATCGGTTTATTTTAATGCGCTCTACGTGGGGTGCCTTTGAAGAGTCTTTGGGAGCTTCAGCTGGTCCAGAATGCAGCTGCTTGAGTTTTAACTAACACTCGTTATATGGAGCACGTTATGTTGGTGTTCCAGCAGCTGCACTGGTTTCTGGTATGTTTCTGGGCACAATTCAAGGTCTTGGTTATGACTTATAAAGCCCTAAATGGGTTGGGATCGGGGTATTTGAAGTACCGTCTCCTCCTATACGAACCTGCCTGAGGATTGAAATCAGCTGGGGAGGCTCTGCTACCTGTTACTCCACTTATGGAGATAAGGCTGACATCTACATGGAGCAGGGCCTTCTCAGCCTTTGTCCCTAGGCTATGAAATTCTCTCCCCTAGGACATTCACCAGGCACCAACGTTGTCACTGTTTCAGTGCCAGGCCAAGGCCACCTGTAGGGAATAATTCCAGATACACTGGGTGCAGGCGAAAACAAGCTGAGGATTTATTGAACACCAGCGCTGGTGGAGTACCAACCAGGGGTTAACCTGGAGAGCACTAGTTAAATCAAAACATACATTAGATTATATAGGCAGCAGTTGGGCAGAGGGGAAGTGATTTGATAGGTCTAGCGGCAGAAATTAGATGAGCACATAAGCCAATGAACTAGGAAGGTTACACGGTATCTCCGCCCATTACCAATTAAACATGTTATCACTAATACAGGTAATTATTTCTAACAAGCTAAATGAGCCAACATAAACAAAATGGACATGTTGATGTTAACTTGTTTTGCTGAAATTGTGATATGTCTACTGCGAGATGACTACTTCCTTGCATTGGCACAGTCCTTGGGATCCAAGCTGATTCTTCTGAAATTACAGGAGACAGTGAGAAAAACCGCGCAGCCTCGCTGGTACCAGCCAGGCCTTATTAGAGTGAGGCCCCTTTGCAATATAGTTGCCAGGGGAACCAGGGTCACGGTAACTGCCTGTCTGTATGCTTCCCAGGCCTGGCCCAATGATTTAGGATTTGAGTTCTCAGTTCTCAGCAAGATACCATGGACTGCCTCAGTTTACCCCTACACCACTCTTTTTACCCATGCTTTGTGTTTAGGTCTATGTGTGTGTCCCTCCTCTTGATGTGTTTTAACAGGTTTAATGTTCCCCCCTCTTTGGGGTCTTGTATTTTACATTATATACATTTATTTATTGTGTTTTTAAAAAAATGTTATAAGCCACCTCGAATATTTTAAATAGAAAGGCAGGGTAAAATATTTTAAATAAATAAATAAAGACAAAAAGACAGATGGATTTATACTGGCAACCTGCATATCATTACAAGCACCATTGCTTCTTCAGGAAATAATCCAGCATTATCTAGTGCTAGACCCACATGTCACTTTAATTGTCTTCCCTGGAACTAATGCAACATTTTATTTTTTTGAAAGGAATCTGGTATGGAATTCTGGAAGGCATTGGAATTCTCTCTGTTATTACAAATGCATTTGTAGTAGCTGTGACTTCAGATTTCATCCCTCGACTTGTTTATGCTTACAAATATGGACCTTGTGCAGGGCAAGGAGAAGCTGGACAAAAGTAAGGTTTCTTTAGGAAAGTGTAACTGTGCATGAAAATCTCTATTTCCTTGAAATACAAATAGCATTACTGTCTCCATATTGAAGGATTCCACTAATCAGAATGTTCTCCAAATTACACTGCCATAGTAATACTTTTGGTATCAACAATACAGTCTTTGAGTAGCTAGGATATATTATCTTAGAGGAAAAGTTCTGGATTGGTTATATAAACTTCAGGGGCTACAATCACAAGCTATTGTCATAATCAATATATTGGCCCAGAACACCATGTGACATGTATAGTTAAAGAAGCTATACTGATTTTCACCATCTGAAGAGCTGGCCCATCACATTTAGCTTATTCACTAAACCTCTTTCTGCTGAGAGAGGATTTTACAGGTATTAATCAAAGAATCATAGAACTGGAAGGACTCTCGAGAGATTATCATATCCACTCATGGCATGACCAAGTTCCATCTAGACCAACCCTGAACATAGAACTGGAAGGACTCTCGAGAGGTTATCATATCCACTCATGGCACGACCAAGTTCCATCTAGACCAACCCTGAAAGGTGTTTGTCTAACCTGCTCTTAAAAAAATCTCCAAGTGATGGAGATTCTACAACCTTCCTAGGCAATTCATTCCAGTGCTTAATCATCCTGACAGGAAGGTTTTTCTAATTTCCAAACTAAACCTTCCTTGCTGCAATTTAAGCCCATTGTTTGTTGTCCTAGACTCAGAGGTTAAAGAGAATAATTTTTTCTCCCTCTTATTTATAACAATATTTTATAAACTTGAAAACTGTTATGTCCCCTCTGTCATCTCTTTTCTAGACTAAACAAACCTAATTCTTTCAATCTTCTGTCATTGGTCATGTTTTCCAAACCTTTAATCATTTTTGTTGCTTTTCTCTGGCCTTTTTCCAATTTGTCTTTCCTGATGTGCAGTGCCCAGAACTGGAGACAATACTCCAGTTGAGGCCTAATCAGCGTGGAGTAGAACAGAATTATTTCTCGTGTCCTCTTTACAATGCCCATTGTGTTCACCCTTAGGGAATTTAAGTGGTACTAGCTTTTTCTGCTTTATTAAGTTATTTCATACCACAATCCCAGAAAATGTATTTTGAAATGACATTTTATAAGGAAGATATTTTAGTGTACAGGCAGTCCCCGGGTTACATGGATCCGACTTACATCGGATCCCTACTTATAAACGGGGTGAGGCAACCCCGCACTAGCTGCTCCCCCCAGCAGACCAGGGAGATGCAAAGCTAGCGCCCCCGCCAGCAGACCAGGGAGACGCGGAGCGGCTTTTCTCAGCAGACACCTCAGCTTGAGAAAGAGGACTGAGGGAAGTGAGGTGTGGGAGAATAAAACTGAGCTCTGGAGAAACGTTTGGCTAGAGTTTCCCCTACAATATGTACCAGTTCCGACTTACATACAAATTCAACTTAAGAACAAACCTACAGTCCCTATCTTGTACGTAACCCGAGGACTGCCTGTACTTCCTTTCAAGCTACTTCTTCTTAGAGACATTGACCTGGCTTAATGCAAGAGATTAAACTGTTGTGTGTTAAAAACTTTCACACAGTTTTCCAGCAATATGCTAAACAACTCACTCACATAAGCAACTAAAGCTAATCCCTCAGAAGAGACCAACTTGGTTAAATTCTTTCTATTTTAACAGTTTTGGGAGGAGAGAAATCAGAAAAATTGTGCAAAAGAAAATATTGCAATTAATTTCTGCTCTGTAGCTGCTCTAACTGTAGGTCTTGAACCATAGCCAGCTGGAACATCATTTAAGTACTAATCTGGTGAACCTACAGTTTCCCACCCAATTTAAGCTTATTTTTTTTAAAAAAAATCCAGTTTTACTGGTTGTGGAAAAACCTACAAATGAGAATCAGTGGAATTCTCTCTTTACTCTGTTGCCAAACAATCAAAAAAATACTTAGATCACTCTTATTAGGGTTTAGAATTATCCAACAAGTCAGTTCACATCTCTCTTAGGTACAGCCTACATTAGGAAATTGGCCACATTCCAAGGGAGGAAGCAATCTTGTAAAACAGTTCAGATTACACAAAGGTGCTGGCTGCAGCCTGCCAACTTCAGTAGAACATAAAACAGTGGTTGAAAACCAATTTAAGAAGATTCTCAAGCCCTGGGTAGCCAGGCTAGGAGGCCACCAGACTCACTTTAGACAAGCTACTGACTAGCTATTGGATGGCCACTATCAGTTTGTGGTTTCTGTCAACTTGGACTGGATTCGGTTCACTGAATTAAGTTCCTTAATCTTGAGTGGCTTTCTTTCATCGGTTGTTTTAAACAAACTAATCCACACAGTCGCTAAGGTGCCACAGGTTTCCTCGTAATTTCTATGACAGGGATGGGCAATAATTTTTGATGGGGGGGCACAGCCTTCTCAAGCAGACTCCCTGCCTACCTCGCCCCCGCACTGGCTTCAGTGCCCATGTGGTTTTTTAACAGCTCTGAGCCTGAGGGGAGGGGAGATGTGCTTTGCAAGCTCTCTGTTTATAACAGGCAGCTCCCATTGGCCAGAAACTGTGTGAAGCTGTGTGTGAAGCCTCTCCTCCCTCCCCCAGGCTCACAGCTGTTCAGACAGAGTCCTGCAGCAGCTTTTCTCAGCAGCATGTGGGGAGCAGGCAGGGAGTCTGCCTGAGGCAGACTTAGGGACTTGACAAGCTGGATTCAGCCCACGGAGGATATTTTGTCCAGGCCTGGATTAAGACTTCAAGACCATGGGAAGGAAGCCCTTGAAGAATTCACCGGGATTTCAACAATTTCCACCCCACTTTCAACCTCAGCCTGGAACAATCCACACAAGAGAACCTTTTCCTGGACCGTACAGTACAAATAAAGGATGGTTACATAAACATCACCCATTACGAGAAAACCTACTGATCGCTATTCTAACCTACAAGCCTCCACCCAGGAAACATTACACAATCCATTGCTACTCTTTAGGTGCCACAGGACTCCTAGGCTGTGTCCAGACTCAGGGGTTTTTTCAAAAAAAGTAGCCTTTTTTCGAAAAAACCTCACCTGCGTCTAGACTGCAGCCGCGTTCTTTCGAAATTAAATTTTCTTTCGAAATTAAATTTTCTTTCGATGGCGGTAAACCTCATTTCACGAGGAAGAACGCCTTCTTTCGAAAGTTCCTCTTTCGAAAGAAGTCGTTCTTCAATGTAAATAGGGCTTCTTCGAAAGAGAGCATCCAGACTCACTGGATGCTTTCTTTCGAAAAAGCAAGCCGCTTTTTCGAAAGTTCAACGTGCAGTCTAGACACTCTCTTTCGAAAGAGGCTTGCAGTCTAGACATAGCCCTAGTTGTTTTTGCAGATATAGATTAACACAGTACCCCTCTGAGACTAATCCTCAGAGGTCAGCACTGGCTGACACATCAATACTACCTGAGTAGTTTTCTAGATGGGTGCCTGAAAAACATTTCAAAACAGAACCCATTTTGTAGTGTAGAGAGAGAAAAAAAGTCTCAATATTGTTAATTATTTCATTGCTGATTACCTCTGAAGAAACATCCAACAAATATGCTGATTGGGTGTCACTGAAGTTAGAGATGGAAAAGGCATGGTACTTCAGTCTGTGGAAGAGGAACAGCAATGTTGCAACACTCCTTTCGCTTCAAGTTGAATTTGGGAGCATTTATGCAAATATGGCTGAGAATTCTCTGAGCAGCCATGATTGTCTCTCTGTCTTTGGCACTGTTGCTCTGCCACATGCTGCATAATGTGGCTGGACTTCTACACATGTGGTCAGTGCAGAGCAGGACCTGACACCCTTAGCCAGCTTCATCCTTAATAAACCAGTGAATTTGAACAAGGGAAGTGACATCTCCCAGACCTCATTACCATTGACCAACAATGAGGTATCCGTGTCTCTGAGCCATAATGGGACACAGGAATTGCCACACTGGCTCAAATTAGTGGCCCATGTAGAGGTATCTTGTATCTGCAAGTGGCCAGGACCAGCGTTAGAGGAAGGTGCATGAAACCCATAATGGACAGTTATGAAAGAACTTGCCCACAGGGAGATGTTTCTTTCTAACATCTATCAGCTAGAGGTTAACTTATGCCTGAAAACATGGGGGTTTATATTCCTTGTTAAAAGTATTATCATTTCTGTTATAACTGTGACTGCTCTCACTATTCAACAAATGTTTAATCTTTCTTTGAATTCTATTCTTGGCTACAATGATGTTTTGTGGCAATGAGTTCCACAGGTTAATCATGATGCATGTAAAATGGCATTTTCTTTATCAGTGTTAAATCTATAGCCTTTCAATGTCATTGAATGTCCTTTTATTCTTGTATTATGAGAGAATTTAAATAGGAGCATCCAATTTCTCCCCTATCTCATTCATCATTTTGTGTGCCTCTGTTATGTCACATCTTGTTATTTGTCAAGCTAAGCAGTCTCCATCTTTGTAATCTCTCCTAATACAGAAGCCTTTCAATGCCTCAAATCATTTTTACTCCCCATCTGTGAACCCTTCTATTTCTGTTACATACGTAACTTTTTAGATAGGATGACCAGAACTGAACACTGTGTTCCAGATTCAGATGTAATGTCTGAGTGCAAGTAGGGGAGAGGGTAAATCTAAATACTTTAAAGAAATCTAATGTGAATACATGGGCAATCTAACTTTGTGCAGCATATACATGGTTTGGGGAGGGAGGAAGGGAGAAGGTGTAATTACACTAAGACTTAAATTTATCTCTGCCTTCTGCCTTCTGGGTCAGCTACTCTGAATTTTTAAACGCACAAGAAGGGGATTTTGTTGTGAATTTGACAATTTTTTGAAAAGTAATGTATGAAACAGAGCAGATTTGGGTTGGGAGCGAGAGAAATTACCACCACACACTTTTCACATACAGGCAGTCCCCGGGTTACGTACAAGATCGGGACTGTAGGTTTGTTAAGTTGAATTTATATGTAAGTCGGAACTGGTACATATTGTAGGGGAAACTCTAGCCAAACATTTCTCCAGAGCTCAGTTTTATTCTCCCACACCTCACTTCCCTCAGTCCTTTATTCTCAAGCTGAGGTGTCTACTGAGAAAAGCTGCTCCACGTCTCCCTGGTCTGCTGGGGGGCGCACTAGCTTCGCGTCTCCCTGGTCTGCTGGGGGGAAGCAGCTAGTGCAGGGTTGCCTCACCCCATTTGTAAGTAGGGATCCGATGTAAGTCGGATCCATGTAACCCAGGGACTGCCTGTATTTCACTGTGTAAGTATAGATTTAGGAAGCCAGAGAGAGAAATATCGTCTGAGCTGAGATTATTACTAGAATGGGCTGAGTGTGCTAACTTCAGGGTTTCTTGTTCTCCAGGTGTATGGTAGGCTATGTCAATGCCAGTCTATCTGTGTTTTTGGTGTCTGACTTTGAAAACCGTTCGGAACCAACATCTAATGGAAGTGAATTCTCTGGCTCACCATTAAAATATTGCAGGTAAAAATCTCACCAAAATATCCTTCTCTCATTAAAAAATCACCAGTGGAAGCAATCATGATAGAGTTTCTTTCTGGATTTGTTTTCAAAGTTTAAAAAATTAGATGAAAAATATATTTGTACATGGGACAGAAGTAAACAAGACAGGACACCACTGTGATGTGCTTGTGAGTAGGGAGGTTCCAAATCTTTGGAGAAAGGAAAATTGCCCTGGCAACTAGCCATGTGCTTGAAGGACACTTGCAATTTGCATATAGAATTAGTTTGGGGTTTTTAGGGGTTTTTTTTAAGAACTAAAAGAAATGCCACCAAGCATAGTACAGTATTTACTTATCCTTCAGTAACCACTGACAGATTGTGGAGGATACTTAGTGTGATCTTGGTTCTAAACACTGACTTTCTTGCTCACTGTACATGCAAGGTAAAATTCCACTTTCTGCAGCAAGTTTGCATAGGGCTATGCACCATATAAGCCCCACCTAAGCCCTCTTTTGATGGCTGATGTCAGGGCTGGGCAAAATATGGCCTGGGGGCTGGATCCAGCCCACTAAGCCAACAGATCCAGCCCATGCACCCTCCTGCCAGGACCCTCAGGCACAGAGCTGCCATGGTTTAAAGCGCAATCCGTGTGGCTCTCTGCTCTGCAGGAAAGGGGGGAGGATCAGTGTGATCTCCCCGATCTCCCCTCCCCCAGTCCGATCCTCAGCTCCTATTGGCTGGAAACAACTGGAGGAACTGAGAGATTGGCCTGGGAGATGGGGACAGTGCGAGCCTGTTCCCCCTCCTGGAGCTTAGAGCGATGTAGAGGGAGCAGCCTGCAGCTCTAAGTGATCTGGGGCTTCAGCAGGCAGGGAGCCCAGCCTGCCTTGGGGGTGCTGAGGGGCTTCTGGCCAGGGGATACTTAGGTAAGCACCTCCCAGCCAGAGTCTGCCTCTGGAACCCCAGCCCCTCCCATACTCCAACTCCCTCCCCTGGGTCACCATCCAAACCCTCTGTACCCCCTGACCCAGGTCACAACTCCCTCCCAGAATCTGTACCTCTTTCTACACCCCTTCCCAGGCCAGAATACTCTCCTGCACTCATACCCCCTCCCAGACCCTGTACCCCGTTCCTCTGCTCCAGGTCACCACCTAAACCCTCTGCAGTCTGCACCCCCTTTTCTCCTTCTCCCAGGTCACGATTCCCTCCCAGACTTTGCACTTCCTCCTAGAACCCCTCCCCCAGGCCGGAATCCTCTCTTGCACCCATAATCCCTACCTGACCATACACCACAATCCCCAGACCCAGGTCACAACCCCCTCCTTTGCCCAAACTCCTTCTCAGACCTCACAGCATCCCCTGCACCCCAGTCCCTTACTCCGTGTGCCCTTCTGCACCCAACCTCCATCCTAGACCCTGCATCTCCTCCACAGAAAAGTGCAGCCCTTGACCCCTTTCCAAAATCTTAGAGTGGCTCCCCACCAAAAATTATTGCCCACCCCTGGTTTATGTGATGCCAACAGGCTCTATGAATTTCACCCTAAGTGAAAAAACATTACAAGGAACACTCTGTGCTTGCACTACTTGTACAACATGTTGTGTCCACATACTGTAATTGTCACACGCCTACTGTAGGAGCCAGTTGTAATGGTTGGTTACAACACTTCAGATAGTTTATCTTGATTTGAGTGAAAAGCTAACAGAAACTCCATTGTTTCTCTCCGCTGCACTGGTTCAACTAGTCCTAACTCCACCCCACAGCTGTGTGTGCCATGTACAGAAATTCCCCACTACTCCCTGCTCCCAGCAACTGTGTTTGTCATTGGCACTATGGGAATAAGTCCCAGAAAACATCAGTGCAACAGTGCTGTGAAGAGCTGCTCTGTGTGGATGCACACACATTGTTTTAATCAAACCAATGTTGCAAAGACCTGCTGCATGCATATATGTGCTGTGCACTTGGAGTGCCTTTCTTGCTTTGTGAAGACTCGGCTCTTTGTCCTTTAGTAAGTCTCCTGGCCTCCCTGCTTTTGTTTCTCCATCTCTAAGTGATGCTAGTATTTAGTTACCCCACAAAAGCAGTAGAAGAATTAATTAGTTAATGTTTTGAAGCTCTATTAAAAGTGCCATATAAGCACTAAGTATTATTATTAAGGGGGCTTCCTAATTGCAGGACATTCCAATATTTCAACATTTTATTTTCCTTCCATATTCAAATGAAAAGTTGGAACTATAGTATTTTTTTTTTACACAGAACAGAAACTCAATGTCATTTTGATAATGTTGGAACTATTTTTTTTTTTGAACCAAAATATAATTTTTGACACCCATTAAATCAAAACGCTCCTTTCATTTTGTTGGAAGAACCTAAAATGTTTTGTTTCAAGGGAGAACTCAAGCAGAACAACTGTGTAATGTTGTTATTTTATAATATAGCATGGGTGTGTGAACATGAGCTCAAATGATTGCAAAGATTCTTTTCTAATATGAAACAATAAAATATCATTTGGTGGGTCTCTAGAGCCCAAGGGCATGTCAGTGTCCAGTGAAAAGATTCCTGATGTTTGATAAAAATAATATTACTTGCAATTAGATCGCATACTGAGTTATATTCTTCTGAAGTTAATGCTTTCATTTAGGGAGATGAAACAGTTATGATATTTTGCTATGCATCATTTAACAGGAAATAACCCTAAAATAGGCTATGCCAGTACATAGCCCATTCTGTGGTATAAAGTTGCTTATCTTGGACCATCTACCACTTAATGTTAATGAGGCTGAGGATTAAAATAATGTTTGCTTTTGATATCTTAAAGAACTAAGAATTAAGTGATGTCACTCTCCTTCAGAGAGGTCCAAGTTTTGAAGCTCTGGATTAGCTGGTCAGATTTCTTGTTGACTTTAGTGGGAGATTTCTGGGTAAGCGCTAAATACAGACTTCAGAATTTGGCCTGGAAATGCATTGCTACTAACATCTGTAGGATAGTTATCATAATCATATTCATATAGATGAAATATAGATGCTTAACCCTTTCTTGCCATAGGGATTGCTGCATTGTAGTCTCTAGAGCTGCGTCTACACTGGCATGATTTTGCGCAAATACTTTTAACGCAAGCGTTTTAGCGTTAAAAGTATTTGCGCAAGAGAGCGTCTATACTGGTCCGGGACTCATCGTAAGAACGATGCGCTTTTGCACAAAAGCATGTCTACATTGGCAGGACGCCTTTGCACAAAAGCAGAAGCCCCGAACCATTTTGAAGAGGGCAAAAGGGCAGCAGCCCTTTCTGGGGGTGGGGGCTGGAACTCCTTTGAGACACGTGCTTAAAGGGATCTCCCCGGACAGCTGTTTCTCTCCTGCTGCGTGCTATAGGACCTCTTGCAGGGACTGACAGCCGTAGCAGTTCCATTTGTGGTTGCCCTCTGCCTTTTTGGACACCACTGCCTTATGCCTTTGACTGATTTTTGTAGCTCAGCTTCTTTCTTGTGCCATGGAGCCAGGGGTGGCCATGTGCCTGCTCTGGCCCCTTCCGGCCATTTTTGGAAGCTCCAGGCTGCTGCAGTCCTCGTTCAGGACCTTGAGGCGCAGGTCACTCTGGACTCCCTCACCAGGGAGGCCATGGTGTCCATGTGGCATCCCCACCCCAGCGTGGAGAGGCTATTGTGGAGACTGGACACCAGTACTGGCTGGTGGGACCGGCTGGTCCTGGGGCAATGGGACAGCCAGCAGTGGCTCCGGAACTTTCGCATGCAAAAGCAGACGTTCCTGGAGCTGTGTGCCTGACTCGCCCCTGCGCTCCAGAGAACCACCACCCGGCTGCGGGCACCCATTCCGGTGGACAAGAGGGGCGCCATCGCACT